GTGGTGGCCCCTGTGAAGCTGAACCCTGGCTCCAGGTCTGTTCTGAGGCCGCCTGCTGCCTGGACCTCACCACCTGTCCTGAGACAGCATCAGTGACTCGCCTTGGCAGTCGAGCTCGGGTTTGAGACCAGCTCCTACCGCCTGGCTGTTATTTATTTATTTTTTTTTCTGGTACCAGGAATCGAACTCACGACCTCACACTTGCCAGGCAGCGCTGTGCCGCTGAGCTAAATCCCCAGCCCCTCGCCTGGCTTTTAGGTGTGAGCTTGGGTTGCTGGGCAGTAGACCTTAGCCCTTGCCCTGGGACACCGACAGCATTCCAGCCATCTGCCTTGGGAGGGCCTTGCCTATCACTGAAGTCCCCACCCCCGCGTGATCCAGCGGGCTCTTGACTCATTGTAGGACTCCGCCTCTCTTTACTCATAACTGCCCAGCCCCACTCCCTTGACCTGAATTAATTCATCCTCATGCAGCCGCCTCTTTTTTCCTTCAAAGGAATGTCTGAAGCCCTTGTCCTTCCCCCTGTGCCTTCCTGCCGGATCGTCTTCCTCCACCCAAGCTCCGGACCCACTGGCCTGGTGTTCACAGCCCCCACCTCTGCATAGCTTGGCTCAGCCCCTTCGGTTTCTCTGAAAAAGCTCAGAGTGCGTGGCTCCTCCCTTTTTGCTTCTGAACTGCATTTTTTTCTTTATTACTCAGTGTCCACGCCCAGGGTGGGTGCCGGGATAAAAATTTGTCCCTTTCCCCCAGTCACCCTTCCAGGCCGGACCTTAGCAGCAGTGAAGAGGGGCCACCTTCCCAGCCCTCTTAGGGCCCTCAACTCCTCACAGCGGCCTGAGGCAGAGCAGTGTCCACTGAGGTCACCTGGCTCCTAGAGTCCAAGTCTTAGTCTCACCAACTAAGCTTGTTTACGGAGGGCCACCAAGTTAATGATTTTTCTGTTTAACCAGCAGGGGAGGAGCGCACTCCCGATTTTACCCATTTCTGTGAGGCTTTCAGGGACTCCGGACCCCACACTGACCTCTTTTCCCCAGGCTGGGCTGGCTTACACGGTCAAAGAAGACCAGGCCATTTCTCAGCTGTACAGCTTAGTGACCTTCCAGGAAACACCTTCTCTTGGGAAGTCAGACTAGGTGATCTCACCTCTTCCAGCTGACTTTTTATGAGGTAACAAAGAGGGGAAGATTACCTGCCTGGCAAGGGGGAACTTGATCAGACCTGTTTGGGGGGTTCCAGAGAGGTCCTCTAGTAATGGGGTATGTGGAGGTGAGGATTCCTGTGGGGGCTTCTGGCTCTGGGGAGCCCCCTTCACTTATGATTGGGTAGGTGCCCCGTAGGGGACACCCCTGTCACAGAAATTGACAACGCTGCTCATTTTTACAGGTCTTCTAGCCAGTCAGCTTCAGCTGGCCGATCCCCACCCACTCTCTCTTTCCTTCTACCTGCTCTTAGAGAAGTATGATGAATCTGGGAACTACAGTGAGCGTGTCAGGGTCTTCACTGGGTGTAGTGTCATCATATCCTCTCTTGTCCTATATCCAGCATGTTGGTAGAGCACAAATTAACCTTTCCCAAAATGCCTATGGGGATGAATTCTGTCCTGTGACCTTTTACTCCACTCAGGCTTACCAAAGGTCTCTTGGCCTTGGCTACGAGGATACCTAGCCATGTTAGGCTTGCAATAAATATCTGTTGAATGCCTGGTGTTGGTGTGTCCCCGAGTGTAGCAGTCTTCTGTGTCCCTTCCTCTTTGTTCCTCCTGTCCCTTCCTATCCCCCCACAGCCGACCATCTCCCTTCAGTCTGTGTAATAATGATGGGTGAAAAATTCCCTAAAGCCACTAGCAAAAGGAGAAGTCAGGCCTGAAAGGCTGGGACCTCTGCTGGCATCTGGAGGAGATAGCTGTACTTTTAGTTTCACACTTTCCCCCTTGTCATCCCTTGGAAGGAGTCAGGGAACTGATTTTCCTATAGCTCTTGGAGCTGTACATGTAACACTTTGTTGAGGTGAGTGGGGCAGGGGTAGGAAGACTAAGGAAATTCTCCAGCTCTGCGTATTTGAGTTGAGTATAGGCTACACAAGACAGGAGGAAGAAGACTGAAAATAGAAACCTTTAGATAAGAAAATGTGCAGAGGAGCCAGGCGTGGTGGCGCATGCCTGTAATCCCAGCACTCGGGAGGCTGAGGCAGGAGGATCGTTGTGAGTTCGAGACCAGCCTGGGCTACAAAGTGAGCTCAAGGCCAGCCTGAATTGCATAGTGAGACCCTGTCTCAAAAAGACCAAAAAAAAAAATGCACAAAGGTGAATGACTCAGGTTTCCTGTTGCCCCTGTGGCCCTAAGTGCCTAGAAGCCACACAGACTTTAGGAAAACAGCTTGGAGATGGCTGGCCTTGGGATTGTTCCCCACACCTGCTGCACTTTGCACTGAAACATCAGAAAAACTTCTCTTCCCCTTGGGTGAAAACTCTTGCCAACTTCTACCCTGGCTCCATCACCTTGGGACAGAAAGCTGGGGCTAAAGTGTGAAACAGCCCTGTTCACTACCTTTGACTCCCTTGCTCCCCCATTGATGTCGCCCACTCCTGGACTGAACTGAGCGAAACCTTGATGGATGAGAAATTCTGTTTGGTGTTTTCAGGCTCTGTAAGAAACTATGGGCCCAGCAAAAGCCTCCTTTTTAAACCTTTGCTTTTGCCTAACATCTCCTGGCTGCTGTCCCCACATGACCCAAATAAACAGATGATCATGTGAAGCCAGTAAGGCTGTTTGTTTTAAATAGCAAGCATCACCACTAAGCTCTGGAGCAGATGGGGTATTGGGAACAAGGAAGAGGCCAGCATTCAAATCTGTGTTCACCCCACTTCTTTTTTTTTTTTTTTTTGAGACAGTATGTAGTACAGGCAGGCCTGGAACTCATTATGTAGCCCATGCTGACCTCAAACTCGCAGCAATCCTCCTGCCTCAGCCTCCTGCGTGCTGGGATTACAGGCATGCACCACCATACCCGGCACAGTCCGCTTTTATCTCCTATTTCTTCATCCCTGAAGGAGAAGTTGTCTTCAGAACACTGCTTCTCAGAGGTGCCCATTGAATGGCATAGAGCTGGTTCCTGACAAGAAGAGTCAGGAAAATTGGATCTCAGCCTCTAGAAGAAACTGCAGGGCTGTATGGGTGCCATGACTACCTCAGGAAGGCAGGGACAGGCTGTACATGGCTTCTAAGCTGAATTCTATGGTGCTGATCCCAAGCAAAATGAAACTTGGTATGAGAACTTATATCCACATGATGATGTATGCTGTTTAACCACCACCACCACTTCCTGTCTATATATTGCCTTTAAATCTTTTTTTTGTCTTTTTGAGACAGGGTCTCGCTATGCAGTTCAGGCTAGCCTTGAGCTCACTTTGTAGCCCAGGCTGGTCTCGAACTCACAATGATCCTCTTGCCTCAGCCTCCCTAGTGCTGCAATTACAGGCGTGCGCCACCATGCCTGGCCTATATATTGCCTTTAAATTTCCCATTTTCTCTTGTGCAGAATGGGCCAGGCCCAACCACACCAGGAAACAGGTGGCAGACAAAGGAAGCAATGTCAGGGCCAGCACCTATCACACCTTCCTAGGAAAAGACCTTGTCCCATGGAGAAGAACTGGGCTATTGTGTTCTAATCTCCCTTTGGTCCACTGTCATCATAGGCTAAGTCAGTGGCACCCAGACACTTGTGTTTCTCCCTGCACAGCTCTAGATGACTGGACCTTATACATGCCAAGACCAGATGCCGTGTGTGTGAGGTTTTTTATTTCTGGGGTCGTCTGTGCAGGGTTCCTTTGCCCAGCATGCAGTACGATGCCCTCAAAGGAAAGCAGCAAAGCCAGCAAGCGTCCGTTTACGCAGGCTTTCTAGGCGCCTGGCTCTTCTCCAGCCAGTCCCTGACATGGGCATGTATACCTCTGAGGATGCAGTGTGGATCGGATGAACTGGCAGGACTGCCTGCCTCAGCCGTCCTCGTGAAGGTTTGCTTTGGCATTGTGTAATGGTGGAGCCCAGATTCCAGGATCCAGAAACCGCTTACATTGCCCCACTGTCAGGGTTAACCAAAGAACTTGTGTCCCTAACTGAACGTCCTCTGGCTCGGGTTGTGACAGCAGAACTGGATATGCTCCAGCGTGCCCCAAATATGCGTTCAGCCGGCCTGTATCTGTCACTGCCAACGTTACCAATGGTGATGGCGTATGGCCTCCAGCAAAGAAGCAAAACAGTAGGGTTGGGTTTCAGGTAATTTTTGTTGCCCCATATCACACTATGCAGTTTGCTGTTCCTCCTTGGCTTCTAATCCGAGGGGCTCTGCCTCAGAACTAACATCAAAGAGTCACCCTGGGGTCCGAGATCTATGCTCCTCTTCATGGGGCAAAGAGCGACTGGAATACTGAATGATCTTAGACAAGTCCCTTCCTGCCTCTGAGCTTCGGTTTCCTTATAAGCGAAGTAAGAGGATCTGAGCAGGCTGACCTCAAAGGTCTAACTTTCTGGTTGCTCGCCTGGTGTACCTAAACCCCAGCGCCAGGAAGAGGCGGGCGGGCGGGAGGGCGTGCCCCAGGGAGAGCGCGGTTACAGCCAGTACAGCAGCCCCGCCCCGAGCCCCGCGCCCCGCCCGCAGCCTCTGGTCGCCCGGCCGCCGGGAGGGCCCAGCTTCCGCCCTCCACGTTGTTGTTCCCGATTTGGGCCACGCCCCCTTGGCCTGGGCTCGGGACGGTTCGCCTTGACCGCCACCGCCCCGGCCCCAGAGCAAAGGGGTGGCCTCTGCACTAGCACAGTCGGAGTGTCTACCCATATCAGACACGCGTGAACAAAGACAAGAATTTTGGGGTAGGGAACAGAAAGACGTGGTTTTAAATGGGAGGGTGGTGAACAGCAGAGGGCAGGCCATGGCACGACTATGGGATTCCCCTTTAGGTGTCTCACCCTACGTTCACCCAGTGGCCCCATCCGAACCCGCTGTGACCGTGCGGACACTGGCCCTTTAAACAGAAGGCTGGCGGCGCGGGGTGTCCATGTGGAGCCGCTCCATGCCGTGTTGTCCTGCCCGTCCATTGGCCCGCGGCCCGGTGACGTAGCCTAATAGGATGTGAACGCACTGCGGGGGGAGGAACGGAGACAAAACGCGGAGCCGGATTAATAGTCCGCTCCCTCCCGCCCGATCTTTCGCATCCTGCAGCCGTCAGCTCCGCCCCGGGGCGGGTCCCGGGGGAATTGCGACAGCCGGGTGGTTGCGGGATTTAGGTCGCGGGTGGGTGGGGAACGGAGACCTAGGAGTGAGGCCAGTGTCTGCCATCGTGAAGTTTCCCTGAACTGGAATAGCTTTATCTGGGCTAACAAATTTTTCTGCATTTTCGACCCTTCTTTCCCTCCTGCAGGACAGATTTTTGTCATGAATGACCCGTGCATGCACCCCTTGCTCAACTAGTGGCTAGCAAACTGGGCGGGGCGAGGCGGGAAAGCGGAAATACAGCGTGCAAACCTGGCTTTCTCGGCTCCCACCCCCACCGAGGCCACGTGTGCGAGCGCGCGCGCGCGCCGTCTGTGGTGGGCGGGGCCAGCCCGCGCGACCCCGCCCCTCCCTCCTCCAGACGCCGGGGCCCTGCGGGCGGGGGCTCCGGTCCGGGCTTTGGCTGCGGCCCCGGTGTAGTAGCGGGGGCGGCGGCCGGGGGCAGCGCGGCTCCTTCCCTTGTTGTGTGTGTCGGTGCCTCCTCGCCATCTTGTTGCAAAGCCCTTTCTTGTCGGCGGGACTCTTGGGGGCTGCGGGGCGGGAGGCATCAGAAGGGAGCAAGAGAGGGAGGGGAAGGAGGGAGGCAGTGCCGCCTTTTTTTTGCATCAATTTTTTAAATTTGCAAATTTATATTTTGCAAATATTTTGGGAGACATTGATTTTTCTGCCCGTGCTCCCCCCGTTCTTTCCTGTGGAGTGCGCTGCGCCGCCTAGCCCTGTCGCCCCCCGGAGGTGATCCCTCCCTCCTGCCCGCCCGCCAGCCTGACCTGTGCCTGGCTCGCGGGCCGCAGCCTCGGCCCCGGCGCGCCCCCGGCCGCTCTCGGCGCGATGAGCATAGAGACGCTACTGGAGGCGGCCCGCTTCCTGGAATGGCAAGCGCAGCAACAACAGAGAGCACGTGGTGAGCGGCCGGGCTGGGCCCCTGGGGCACGGGGGAAGGGGAGGCGAGTGACCCTGGCCCCGAACCCATGTGAGACCGCAGGCAGACCCTCTTCCCTGGCGGCCAGAGAAGCCGGGCTGTGCACAGCCCTCCGAAAGAGCCGCCGCCCGGGAGGAGTGATGTGGGCAGTTAAAATAATTAATGAATTCATTACCATGCAGCGAGGGACCCGGCTCCGGCGGGCATAACCCCAGCTGCCTAGCACCTGTGTGCACCTTCCACGGGGGGCTCCTTTCGCGTGGGCCGGCGGCGCTCTCCGTAGCCCTTTAGATGTGAGCCGGGGGTGGGGGTGGGGTGAAGGGTGGTGTTGCGTGGGGGTGGCAGACCCGCGTGTGCGTGCGTGTGTGCACGGGGGATGTGTGATGGGTGCTTTGGAGAGAGCGATTGCACGGACGTGTACACGGACGTTGTACAGCACACGAGTGGGCGTGTGTGTAACAAAGTGGGGGTGGGGATTACTCTACGAGGAACAGTTCTCCGGCTTCCCCTGCCCCGGCGGGAGGGTGCGGGGGGCGCTCCCGGCAGATCTACGCGCCGCTTGGGGCGGAGGCGGCCTTTGCAGAATGAAATGACATCGCGTGTCTTATGATCCTGGCCAGCCCCGCCTGACCCCGCCTCCCTGGGCTGGGCTGGGTCGCGCGTCAGGGGTTTGGGTGAAAACCGGGCAGATTGGTGTCTGCCAAACGGCCTGCAGGTCGCTGGGGGCAGCCTCCGGGCCCCCCTCGCAGCGCCCCGCTTTAGCCGGTGTGGAATGCGGCGTGTCTGCGCGTTCCAAACCCGCTCTGGGCTGGAATGTTGCGTGTGCATGCGTTCCAAGCCCGTTGGTTACACCGGGTGGTGACGTGGACGGGCCCCGCCCCCGACCACGTGCACGGGGGACACTCCCGCTGGGGACTGCTCGGCCGGGCCCCTCCTCGAAGCCTAGCGCTTAGCCGGAGGCGGGGCCTGGGCGGGGCCGGCGAGGGGCTTTGCTTGGGGTTGGGCCCTGGCATCTCCTGAGGAGAGCCTTTGCCCTGGGAAAGCTGAGCTGCGCTAGCCTTTCAGTTCTTACCCGAATCTCCAGTATTTAATCCTCAGGCGAGGGAAACCATCACAGTCTCAGGTGACAGGACATTTAGAGTTCACATCTGCCCACTGACCCCTCCCCCCCCCCAAAAAAAACCGTTCTCATCAGGCCTTCCTGGCTATATCTCCTGTCACACTGTGGAATGAACTAGGCTGAGAAGGAGCAAACTTTGGCGCTCCCTCACAAGCATTTTGTTGCCTCCTGTCCCCGTGCGCCCTTGATGGTGGTCCTAGCTTCAGGGTGCTGCAAAAAGGACTGAGGGGAAAGACCTCTGCTTTCCCGTCTGCTGGGAGGGCCTCAGCCTTGGACCAGTAGTATGCAGTTTCTGTGGACTCTTGTGCTTGCCTGCAGCGTCCCCCTAACCCCTCTGCCGGGTCGGTTGTGCTAGAGAGAGTGCTTCGCCCTCCTTTCTTTTCTCTCTGCCTATTGTTGCTTCAATGATGAGTCATGCAGGAGGTAGTAGTGTGTTATGTGTGCGCGCGGCTGCGCGCGCCTGCAGCTTGTGCGGCTGCTGCCGCTGCCACGGCGGGCGGGGAGGAGTGGAGCGGAGCAGAGCGCAGCCAGCAAGGGCGGGAGCAGTCCGCAGGCCCAGTAGAACCAACCAACCGGGCCTCTCAAGGTCAAGAGTCACTGGAGATATTCAAGACCTAGATGCTAGGATTTTACAGAATTAGCTGGGACGTCCGCCCCCCCTTCCCTCCCCCCACCTTTGGGATCCGGAGCAGGGTCAAGCCGTGGACAGTGCTGGTGGTGACCCAGAATATCCTGTGTGCGGTCCCAGCGGTGGAGGGACGACTGTGCACAAGCTTTGGAGATACTAAGTCACCTGCCGCCACCATCAACACAATTAAAAGGTGCCAGGTGTGTCCCAGCTGTGTACCAGGCAGTGTGCTCCAGGTGAACAAGACTGACTCTGCCCTTGCCTCCAGGGAGCCCTGGATTGTTTCACCTTCACCTTACCTGAAACCTGTATGGCCACACTGGAAAGGGAGAAGACCCCCCACTGTCATGCTTCCACCCTTACCCGATTAAACAAGCCCAGATCAGCCTGTAAGGTGGGAGGGGAGAATGTATGCAGCTCTGCCCAGAAACAGAAAAACTTCTCCCCCAAGAAGTTGCAGAACCCTGCCCCTCCCCCAGGTGGTGAGAACTGGGGACAGGGCAAGTTTAGTTGCTCAGTGGGCTTTTGGTACTGGGTCAGGGGGTTTTAGGGGATGAGTGGGCGCTGGAAAGCCAAAATTGACTCCCAAGAATTCATGTATCCAGATGGCCAGCCCTGTCCCCAGCAATTCAATCTTCAGGATTCACTTTCTTTTCCCCCTTGAAGTTCAGTCCTCTGCCCTGAAGCAGGAGGAATGGAAGCAATGAGGATGGGAAGTGAACCTGCTGACCAGAACTGCCCTCCTAGGCTATTTACTTGATGACCAGCTCTGAACAGGAATCTTCTTGTCCGTTTTCCCTTTCCACCTCAAGGGCAGGTTTCCTGGCCTAGACCAGACAGTTTGCTTACATAATGAACCTGAGATGTGTGTGCTTGTGAGCATGTATGAGAAAGGAGGAAAGGACAAAGCCATCCTGGTCCTCAGCGGGAGGACCTGGCCTAAGCCCAGCATTCGTGGAGATGACTTGAATTGGACTCTGCCTTAACTGGAGAGGGCTGGCCGGATTATCCATATGCCCTGACCATATTCTGCCCTACATCTGCTTTATATGCAAAGCTTCTTGGTACACATGTAGAAGGAGAGAGTTCATGTGCACTTTTGGGGCCACCTAGTGTGGACCCCTCAACCACCAACCCTGTGCCTGCCGATTTGCTGGGCCATAGTAGCTTGGAAAAGTTGCAGATCTTACAATGCCAGGTCTGTGACTGGGCTGGAGGTATGGGCCCTGGAACACCTAGAAGGCCATGCTGAATTCTTTGGGGCACCATCCCGGGGGAGCTGAGGGAGAGTATGCATGTGCCGCCTGTGAGTGTGCAGGACATTCTTTTAAAGAGTCTCAGCACAACACAGGTTGCTCCTGAAGGAGGCCCCAGCCATCACTGGTGTGTTTCCCCCTTCCAGTGTACTGGAGAGGGTCCCTGCTGGGTGGGAAATGAGTCAGAGTTGGAGGGAACAGGCAGGAAACCCTGTGAGCTGGCTGTGGCCTAGGGCAGGCTTCTCAGGTTTGTCATGCAGATCCAGGTGTGGCAGAGATTGGCCATTCACCTGAGTCCTTTCTGGCACCTGTAAGGTGCATCTGCCTGGCTCTCTGGAAGAGAGGGGAGAGGAGTCTGCCATCAGAGGTGAGCTTTATTATTTTGTTTCTTTGTTTTTGAGACAGGGTCTCGCTATGCAGTACAGGCTGGCCTTGAGCTCACTTTGTAGCCCAGGCTGGTCTTGAACACGCAATGATCCTCCTGCCTCAGCCTCCCAAGTGCTGGGGTTACAGGCTGTGCACCACCATGCCCGGCTAGGTGAGCTTTAGACTTGCTTTGAAATATGGGTTTGCCTTCAGTTTGGATTTCTTCTGCCAGTGGAGCATTTGCCTCAAGACAATGAGAGTTTGTAAGTCAAAGGAGGGGAGGTGGGGCTTGCGTTGGGCCTTGTCCTGGGAGAACTGACTGGTGATATCCCATGCTGGGCTTGAGAGGAGCCCGGCTGGAACTCAGTAGGCTTCTTTGCCACTGCTTTGGGGGAAGCTGCAGAGCATCCAGCTGGTTTTCTCTGGTGTTGTAAACCAGTGCTGGCTCAGAGAGGCCTGGGAGAACAAGGTCTCTCCTCATTGGAGCAGGCTGGTGCTTGCCTGGCAGCTCCTTTTCCTGAAGAGCAGGGGAGATAGGAAGAGGCCCATTGACTGGCAACCCCGAGCCCTGGCTGCTGGGAAACCTCTGAGCACTTCCCCTCAACTTCCTCCTTGGCCTCTTCCCTCACCCTGGGAGGGGTTAGGAGCAGGCCTGTCCTGCTTTGGAGCTGTTGATTGGCCACAAGGCCCTGGGGCTGTGAGACTGTTGGGGGGGCACTCCCTTTCCTAGGGAGGACTTGCACAGTGGGGTGGTGTGTTTGGGACATGTCTACCAGCCAGTGCTGTCAGCTGTGTTGGTCGTGAATGGGGGCAGGAGAAGAGGGCTGGCTGTCCAATTCCTCCTAGCCTGGGGGTGGCCCATCTCTTCAGAGTGGGGCCTGGGAGAAAACCCAACAGCAAGGGGATGAGGAAGGACCTCTGGTGAGAGTTCTGGTGACTTTCAGCAGAGATACTGAAGGAAGTGATGATGGGTAAAGGTGGCCTGAGTCGGTGGCATTGCATGATCTCTCCTAGAGAGCCCAACCTGCTTTCTTTCTAGTTTTTGCTGGTAGTGGTGTTGGGAATACTGTTTGAGGGGGAGAAAAAGTAGTTCCAACATGAGTAGGGGCAATTGTGTTTGCTGAATGGTCCCTGAAGAAATCAGAGGCCTTAAATTAAGATTCAGCCTTGGAGTCTAGAAATTCTGGGCCAAGCCAGGCATGGTGGTGCACGCCTGTAATCCCAGCACTCAGGAGGCTGAGGCAGGAGGATCGTTGCGGGTTCAAGACCAGCCTGGGCTACAAAGTGAGCTCAAGGCCAGCCTGTACTGCATAGTGAGACCCTGTCTCAAAAAGACAAAAAAAGAAATTAATTAATTAATTAATGAATTAATTAATTCTGGGCCACTTCCTCATGAAGTGAAGGTGATACCCTACCCTGCCTGTGACATGGGGCTCTTGTGAGGATCCAGGGTGTGCGTATGTACATGAGGAGACACACAGTGAGCTTATGTTGATACAGCAAGGAGAGAGCATTTGGGTAGGTGTCAAGAGACTTGCTGTGTGATTCTCAATAAAACACTTTGGCTCTCTGAGCTTATTTATTGCATCTGCAAAATGAAGATACTGCCTACCCTTTTTTTTTTTTTTTTTTTTTTTAAGTTTTTTGGTACCAGGAATCAAACTCAGGACCTTGCACTTACCAGGCGGGTGCTTGTGCCGCTGAGCTATATCCGTGGCCCCTGCCTGCCCTTTAGAAGGTGCTTGGTACATATGGTGGAAGGCCTTCCACAGAAGCTATGACTGGTCAGCACCCCACGGTAGCCTCAGCACTCTTTCTTGGTCTGGCCTCTGTCCAGCTCTCACGCCTTCTTATCTGTCCCTCGGGGCTCCTCAGCCCCCTTGCTCCTGACTTCTGCCTGTGGGCTCTTCTCCCCTCAAGCTGTCGGTTGCCAGGCCTGCAGGGTCCTCTCTCATTGCTGCTGCTCTGCCTTTTTGTGGCCCACTCTCCCTCCTCCAGCTCGGCCTGTGTCCCCGGTGTGTTCAGTCAGTTTTGCCCCAGACTGCGAGCTCCCCATTGGCAGGGGCCAGGCTTGTGTTCTTGGCCCACTAGTTTCCTGGGCATGAACTTACCCAGTGCCTGGCTGGACGTGGTGCATATGTGTGCTGTCTCAGCCAGGCAGGGGTGTCCCTGAGCACTGACTAGGATAGGGTGAGAGGATGGATGGCTTAGGGTCAGAGAAGGTAAAGCAAAGGCCCGGGACTGCTAGTCCCACTGAGACGCCCCCTTGTATTCTGTCTGCATAGAGGAGCAGGAGCGACTTCGTTTGGAGAGGGAGCGGGAGCAGGAGCAGAAGAAGGCCAGGCTGGCACATGCCCTGCCCGTGGAAGAACCCCGAATTGAAGCACCACCCCTGCCCCTATC